ATGTAAAACTCTTGCCATTCAGAATAAATGAAGGGAATTTATAGTGAGAAAAGGAAAATATAATCTTTCAATTTGAAGGTATCAGAAACCAAGCACATAAACCCCCCCTATTGACTGAGTTGTGTCTTGAGACATGGACCATGGTCTTGACATGGTCAGACATGGTTACATGGAAAATGATAAAAAATACAGAAAAATGTTACTTTTTCTTGTATTTCTATAGAGGATAACTTTTTAGACAGTTGAGGATACATATTTTCCAAGAACCAACAAATTAAAATCATTGCAGGCAAAATCTTCTTTCATTGCTCAACCATGGTCACTAACCATGGTCAGCACTTGTCAGGATCACGGCTCAACCATGGTATGACCATTGCAAACTATGGTTGGGCCATGAACCATGGTTGGGTTTTCGCAGGGGTAGTGTGGCCAAGAAACACCTCCATTTGCCACAAATACTATCTTTTAAAACTCGATTTGGGGTTGTGCATTAGTTCCTAAGTCTGGGCCAGACTGGAATGTGTGGCATTTTTAAATGTGATCTTGAGTGTATGAAAATTGGTGGAACTTTTTAATGTGCAGGAGGAAAGTGCACTAAAAATTCCATCAGAATGTATTTTAAGTGGAATGGGCACCACATACAGCTCAGATGCATGATGAATTGAAGGGGGATGAATTGGGTCTATTTTCTTATTGAATAAACTGAATCAAAAATGGTTATAATGCACTTCAGGACCAGTTATCTGGACTTAAAGCACAAAGTGCTCCTTAACAAAGTTGTTTACTGGCAAAGTTGGGCTACTATAACAAATTTCTGTGTTTGCTGCAATCTTAGGTTTGCCTCTGACATACTTCCAATTCTAGAATTTATGAATCAACTTCTAATACAAACATTCTTAGCTACAATCATATATAAGCCTTTGTTCAAACTAGTTTACCCAACTTAATCAGGAACTTGAATAGCTTGTCAACCCAACATTTCTAGTCTCTACCCTAATACTGACAAGATACTATGCCTATAAACAAAATATACAGTTACTTGGTTCTGTTTTTAGAGAGGGATATGGTTTATCCTTTTTCAATCAGTTCAGTTTAGTTTATATTTTTAAATCCTTCTGCATTATGCAGTGCATACAACAAAAAATATTATCAATCCATACAAAAAAGGAAACAAATTTGGATGGAAAATCAATTCAATAAAGTGGAGTCGGTTAAAGTCACACCAAATGTTGCTTGAAAACTTGCAACAGTAAACATAATGTCACTGTAAGGGAAGCTAGCTTTAATAGATTTGCATATTTGGGTCTAAATTTTATGTGACTGTAACAAGCAGTGTGATCTTAAGCAGAATGACTGTTAGCAGAGTTGATTGTATAATGTTTCCATACCATTAATCCTCGAATTAGCACCCTGGAGGCTTATCTATTTTTGATATTTTTGGATGGGGGTTATTAGAGGGGGAGGGGAGCTTATACAAGGGTCAGGTTTATCAAATTATGGTAGACATCAAGAAGAAATTCCTTAAAGACCTTGAATATATAGTAGGAATTTCCCTATTAACATTTAATTAATTATTACCAAAATTATGAATTTTTGTTGTAATTCAATAAAACACCAAAGGCAACCTCAGATGGCAACAATCAAAAAATCAAGGGGGCCAATTTGAGGATTAACAGTAGCAGTGGGAACCTATTCAAGGGGGGGGGGGGTCTTATTGACAACTTGTAGTTCTAGGATCATGGGAATTTATTCCAGGGGAGGGCTTTTTTGAAGGGGGGCTAATTCAAGGATTTACTGCATTTGTAACAATATGAATCGCATGAAGGGAATTACTTCAAGGTGGTCCCCCAATTCTATGTAAACTAAACAATGAGGGGCCCCTCCTATTCAAAAAGGTTAATCAACGAGCTGGATGAATTTCAACAATTTGAGGAACATAAACTTTTGCATCTCACATGTAAAATTGTGCAAGATACAAAACTAGCTCAGGATAATTGTCTTTCTAGATCAAAAGCTACAACAAAGATCAGAGGTGGCACTGAAATGTATCAAATAAACATTTATTCACATAAATGAATCTATGACTTAAGCTACTTAATTGTTGGTTTAGGATGCTTTGAAATGAATGGCATAATTTCCAAAGTAAGAAGTCTAACTTTACTTTTTTTGGTTGAACATGCAAATGGTTTAACGCAGAAGACTTTTTGAATTGAATTGATTCAGCAGCACTACACTCAGAGAGCTCGATAATCTTGAATTTGGAATTTAGCCAAATATTGCCTAGCAATGCATATTTACAAAACTGGTACAAGAGTAAGAATAATTTATTGCTTATTGGCTGATTGAATGACTTTTGTGGATATGCAACCCCGCTTGCAAACTGCAAACTCCATCTTTGCATTCTTTCATTGTATATACATTTTATGGATGACTTGTGTTCTTACAAATCAACAATCATATTATTGTAGTGAGCGCCTGATGGAGTTCGCAGATGCACGAATTGGTCCTGATGAAATTTTCCGTTTTTATAACAATAATAAATTATATTAATATTGTAAATTTACAGGCACTTTGCCCTAAAATAGGCAAAACGTGTTTCTGCCCCTAAGGTGGATCGTTGTTGACAAAAGCAACTTTGGTTGTTACTCATGGAATCTATCTGTTTAACAAAATGCTCATATCATAATTTACAGAAAAACTAACTTCTATAAAATAATCTAATAGCCTTGTAGGTATATCGAAACTTCTATATTGGTTATATCCAACCCCTCCATTAGATCAAGCAATCTCTTACACGAATTATGTCATAAATTCGATAACCAATAGAGATGCCAGTATACTGGATGTATTGGTGACCTGCGCTACTCCACCGCATGACATGGATAATCTATATAATAGCAATATTGAATCAATTAGCCCAAAGAATAAAATTTTAACTACAGAATTATTACTACAAACTCATGACACTTTTACTTGAATTATTAGAAAGACCAATATTCATAACCATCTCGTACAAACCAAAACGCTGTCGCCCCTAGGTTTGTTAAAAAGCATAAATAGATAGAAATAAACCTTTCTCCTCCTCCTGTTGTTTTAGAGAATATTTTCCCCCTTTTTCATGCTATCTTTATTCATCTTATTAACAACTAGGCCCCGATAAGCGTTTTTGAACCAGATGGACATTATGAAATGCTCCTTTCTTAAAGTACAAGTAAAAACCAAGTTACCAGATCTGTACCAAGAATTCTGTATTACCAAAAAATTCATCTAAATAATTTAATAATATTGCTTATATATCACATATCCACTCATTGCGTAAGGCGGTCACCCAATACCACCCCAGTTACCTTGGCATCCTATCTTATCAAATTTATGACTTAAATCTGTAACAGAATGAGTTGCCTGGATTCATGAGGTGGATATAAGACTAGACTAGTATGGAAAATTTACGCATCAACCACAAAGCTATTAAACTTTATTTTATAGAGTAGTTTTTAGAAAACCATATCATGATGCATTATTGTAAACTGATATAGACTCAGGTTAGTACAACAGTTCTTTGCATATTGGACCATTCAACGGCCGAAACATCTACTTGCCCATGAAAACTATTCTTCATTTTCCTAGGACACAGGCTCCTTTACAACTGATAAAACATTTGCATATATGATAAAGCTGATAAGCTGTACGAGGACATATATCTATAGGGAGCTAGAACCGGTGCTTGTAGATAGCTAATTTTACACACGCCACTGTTATTACATTCTTACTAGATTCCAATAATACTAGTCTCGGCCTATAACTGAAAAGTTGGCCCCGTTTAGCGCCCCCCCGATTTTAGGCTAGAATCGCATTGCAGGGAGTGCCTAAATATATTATGTTAATTATTTTCTGTGAACTTTTCGAAAGAGAATTTTGCTCTCTCATGGACATTTTTAGAAAACAGTAGAGATACCTTATCCTAATCCTCTCTTCAGAGACACGGAAATCTCTACGAAAAAAGTAAAGTTCATTGATTTTGCTCTTTTTCAAAAAGTTCGGATTGTGAAACGAATGCAAATTCCCGAAATCTCGTCTTATTATATAGTGTAACATTACTTTATACGTTCTGCCTCGGAAACGAGGTGTTGGATTTGTTATCTTTTTGTTAACTTCGACCGTGTATCGTGAGAGAATGATCAATAGTCGAAGATACGAGCTCAGCGGATTATGCGACGCATTTTAGACTCAACGCATTTTAGCATTACGATTATACATTTCAAGATTTGTGTACAGTCCTCAATGGTTTAATTTACGGTTATAATATTATATATACACTAACTAAACCATCTTTTAATGTTGGACGTTGTCATTTACGCCGAGTCCTATTACTACGTACAGATTATAAAGGTTACAGTTCGTGCTCGTAGTGGTCTGCATGCTCAATTCTAAGGCTCCGCTTGAAATGTGTTTAAGTTTTTTGTGTCCAGGGACGTATGCGGGGTGGGATCTTCACCCCCATAACAGGTAATCTGCCAAAACCGGAATAAATTCGGCATTGGAAAGTTTTTCTTAACTTCTCAATATGCAAGCTGAAGCATATGATACAACGATAAAAAAATTACATTTCATTTACTATACTATGTAGTACATTAACATCTTCTGAGCATATATACATTAATTTTATATTTTATTGATATCCTTTTAAAATTTTTCGGGAAATTTATGAAGAAACGGGAAAATTGGTAATTATTTAACACCCACAATATTGAGTTAATACGCTCCTGCTGGTTGTCTTTCGGTTTATTTTTTCTTGTCGATTTCTATGTTACTTTTCCTATGTTTCAAGCTATTAAGTGACCTATTTATTTTATCTATTCATAACTGAAAGCTGAGAATATTAAATGAATCTATTGTGAAAACTCAAGCTCTTCTTGCTTTTGAAGTACGGCTATCCCTGTGTCCTTGCTTTTTTGATAACTTGATATGAATCAATCCTATTGTATATCTGCGAAGTTAGAATGGATGCGCCCTCAGAAGAATTGGAGTGAATAGAAATAAGCATACTTCACATGAAATCTACTAGACATGCTGAGAAATGGATAGGAATGATAGTACACTGAGTACCTGACAATGTGTCTAAATATGTGATAGGGATCGCTTGCTCGATATCGAAGAGGTACGTCTGAACTATTAACTGTATGTACCTATGGACTTAACTCTTAAAATGCTTCCACATATCTTTATTCATATACTGCTTCTCTTCAAATCGTGAAA